TATAACAAGATAAATTAATTGATTACAAAATAATGATAAAAAATGCGACTTTCTTAATCAAGACAAGTACTCTGTAGTTAGTTAAAAATTTTGAAACAATGATTAACATTAATTAAAGTTTGATTTAAAAAAATAAAAAATAATATTAAAATTTAAATGATTAATAATTATGCAAAGTATTATGATAAAGATGAGGGAAATATATAAAGCTTTTAACATCAAAGAAACATGACCATGTATAAAAAGTGTTAAATATATATAGAGTGTGTAACGTTTTTTTTTTAATATAAAAATTATTAAAGAACCAACTCATTTTCCATTTCAAAATAACTCAATTATGATTTTCTATCCATCAATAATTTTGGACTATCACAAGAATATACGTAACTTTGAGTCTAGACATAATGTAGTAGTACTATATTAATATAAAAATAAAATGATTTGACTTTTTTATACGAAACCTTATGTCAAACTTTTGACACAATATAGTTAATTTAAAACGCTTCTTGTATTCACGATAAATCATGTATAAATTAATGAGAAATTTTATGTATTTTGAATAATAAGACTTGATATATATATATATATATATATATATATATATATATATATATATATATATATATATATATTTTTTTTTTTTTTTTATTTTCTAATAAGAAGAATAAATTTATTACATAAAATATTAATTTTTTTATAAGTATTATTTAAAACACTTATAATTAAATTATAATACTATAATGAAATAATCATCCCTTTATTAAAAAAATAGAAAAAGATTGTGGGTGAAATATGTTTGATATATATTATTTATTTAATTTTAAATTAAAATTATTAATATATAAAATCATACATCTAATTTTATAATATATAATAATATATAAGTGGGTATAATAATATCCATTAAATCAATTTTATAAAATTGAGTTAGATATCTTATTAAAATTAATTAATGTAAAGCTTTTATATTCATATTAATTATATATACTTTTAAGAAAATATTTCTGATATGCTCTTAATCTTAATATTTATTAAAAAATACATTTTGTGAATAAATGTTTTTCACCATTCTATTCATTAAATATATAATAATTTTTGGTAGTAGTGACCTCATTGGTCAACTTGGCCTAATTATTTTCACCAGAGCAATGTCAAAAGAGTCACTATCCTTAAAGGATGTGTACAATGCAGTGCAGTGGTAGTTTTCTTCTTCTCTATAAGACACACAACTTGTCCATTAGGAAGGTCACGTTTGGTAACGTTTCTGTTACTCAAGACACTGTCACAAGTCATAACACTCACTCACTCTCTATAAATAGTTGGAAACAATCTGTGTCTGTCCCAAACAGGGACTAAATCAGATATTGTTTAGACCATGTTTCACCAACATCACAATAAAGCAAATGTTGGCAACCACACACACTGTTATTTACCACCCTTCATCTGTGGGACCCAAATCCCTTGCCTCTTCCAAACCCTAGCTCACCTACTTGGATTTGTTATCAAGTCCAATCACTAGCTAACCCCAGCTCATTCATGCACTCACTGCTAACTAGTCATTTGCATTGCCTCTGTGGAAAATGGAACCATGAAACATCTATTGAAAAATAAGTGATTATGGGAGACAAATCTACGTTTTTCTTAGGAGATGTAAGAGGACATGATATGGAAAGATTGTATATCAATGCTACCTTAAAATACTGTATTATTAGAATCAGATCAAAGAAAAGAACACTGTTAGTATTTTTTTAATCTTTGTGCAGACAATAGTAAAAGAATGGTCTCTAATACATACTTCTTTGTATCACCCTATTACTATGTTTTGTATAAGATAAAATTTTGAAGGGAAAAACACACACTAGAATCCATTGATCTAACATAATTTGTGCAAGTAATTTTTTTTTTTCCACCCAAATCAGTTCTTTCACCAAGAAATGGTAGGGTAATCGATTTTTCACTTTACTACTTTATACAGTTCTTTATTAGATTATAATAATATATTATAGATTTTTGGTGCAGAATTTTGACAAGATGAGGAACAAATCTGAGTGGACAAGTAAAGCTGAGGATTTTGATATGCACAAGTAAGCATAATTAGAGTTCTACCCACCCTCTCTCACACAGTGAAAACCGGAGCCACATGTGCTTGTGCTCTACCTTTGTCTCTCTGTCCCTCACTATAAACTAGTGATGGCAAAACGGGCTAGGCTTCGTGTTTTTAGTCCACCAGCCTGCTTTGGCCCGCCTGCCAAGTCCGCCAACCCGTCGGGCCAACCCGCGGACTGGCAGGCCAGCCCGCGCCCGCCTAATTAATAATAAAATAATTTTTTATTGTAATAAAAATAATTATGAAGATAATATATAAAGTTAAAAATTTTAAAAAGAGAATTAAAAAAGTTTCATTCTCACAAAAAATATTCTCCTTCCTGAAATATAACCTTCTCTCCTGTTCTCCTTATTTATCCTAAGCACTCGATTATATTTATCCTTATTACTTGAATTAAAGATATAAGAATTACTCAACCAAGAATAATATGAAGTTTTATCAAATAAAAAAGATATAGGTATTTGAATTTTACAATATAAAAAATATAAATTTTATAAGTTTAATGTTATTTATATATATATATATATATATTTGTTATTATTTATTATTATGTAAATTTTATTATTGTTCTAAATTATAATTTCTTAAAATAATGTATTGATTTATATTATTAAATTGAAATAATATATATATATATATATATTGAATTATTGACAAACAAATAATAATCTTATTATTAAATTTATTAAAAAAATTATTTAAAAAAATTATTTAAAAAAATTATTTTTTTCTAAATTATGGCGGGCCCGCTAGCTCATCAACCCGCCTCTGGCGGGCGGGCCAAGGTCTACAGCCCGTCATGACTATATCGGGCCAGCCCGCCCCGCCCCGCTTTTGACGGGCCAAAGGCAGGGCGGGCCAAAACGGGCGATCCCTACTATAAACATCTTCTCATTTTCCTTCAACTTACAAGTTTCACCTTTTAACTTGCTTTATGTAAATTAAGGTTAATTGAGATATAGTTTTGTTTGGATTTTTGATTTTCAGACTCCACATACAAAAAAGAACACTTCTTTTGTTGTAAAATGTCAACCTTTCAAATATAATTCAGTATTAAGGTTAAAATAAAAACTTTTTTTATTTTATTTTTCTGTCATCAATCATAACAACTACTCGTTTTACAGCAATGTAATGTCTACCACATGGATGGAACTACTGAACAACTTTACAGCAAGCTACTATACAGATTCTTCAGGTTTGGCCGTGTGACCCAACAGATATAGGGTTTCAATCAATTTGAAATAAAGAGCAATTTTAGATGTTGTCACTTTGTCCAAATCTACCATGCATGGGGTCCCTTTGTGATTGTAAAAGGGTTTAAAGAAAAATTATTTTGTAACATAAAAACACTGCTTTTTGAGTAAGATGCCCCCAACAAAGACCCCGCAAAAGAAAATTTTGAAAGGATAGGCTTTGTTTGTAGTGTGAATTGTGAAAACCATTTACCAATGATCCTAAATTCAAATTTTTGTATATATATGATCAATTTTTTAACAGCTTTTTGAAAGACAAGGTAACATTGTTTGGCCTCTTTTTTATGAAAACAAAACTTTGATACAAGGTAGTGTGGTTCAACTAAACTTTGGCTTAACATTTTGTTTCCTTGAAAAGAAGAGCTAAATATGCTTGATTGGACCTTAAGCTCTTTTCTTTTCCTTTCTCCTTTGAAAGCAACATGCAAATGAAATGAAGTGAAAAAAAACAAATAACATGCATTGTTATTCTCTTTAAAGAAACAGTGTATAACCTAAGGATGAAAAGCACAAACCGTACATAATAAAGCCAGGCAACTAATGGTCTATTTTCGTCCTTGGATTTAGACACCCTGCAACTGTAAAACATTTGCTTCGATTTCAGAGGAAGGACCCCCCCAAGAATTCCTTGCTTCTCTCCTCGATCATCACTCACGATAGTGTAATCATAGACAAATAGATGGCCTAATTTCTGTCACTTGCTAATTGGTTAGTGTTGTTGCGCACTTTCTGTGGTGGGTCATAGTATCACAGCAGATTTAATTTGTCCAACTTTATAACACTCGAAGAAATTAATTGAATTGTGAGCTTAAATTAAAGTTGATCAACAGTGAAGTTTATTTTGTTAAGTGATCAGTTTACAAACTTCTTGCATGTTATGGTTGGATTAAGTTAAGAGTCTAAAAATGTATTGATAATAATCTTTTGTTTGATTCAGAAAAATTTGTTATTAGCAATCACATTCAGAAAATACATTTTAAGCTTTAATCCAAACAAACATATATCCATTTCAATCAACCTAATTGAAAGCCGAATATAAAACTTTTTGAACTGATTTGAAGGTCTCCTAACTGCAAACCTATGTATTATAAAATAATCACTTATTAAATGCGTTTATCACACAATTCAATGTTAAGAAATGATAGAAGTCAGTCACTGAACAGAAGAACCAGCACAACCAAAAGAGCACAAAGAGAAAAGAAAAAGAAAATGAGGTGATGATGCTGGCCCTTAGTCCCGGGTCCCTACCTAAACCTGCCATATCCTGCGCCAAAGATGGCTGATTCACATCACGACACCTCTTCCATCCCCTCATTCAAAATCATTGATCCAATCTCTCTCACTCACTCCTCACAACTAAAATTGAATATTGGTGTAACAAATTGTAAGTGTTCTTTCAGAAAATGATTCAGTATTCAAATTTTAATGCATTTTGAGTATGAAAGAAATATTAGTTCTTAATTCTGATTGAGAATTATTGTATAAATAATATTGTAGTTTGAAAAATTCACTCCCTCACACCCTGGTGCTATATAAACATGTGACAAGCATAAAAGGAACTACGTCCCCTACCAAACTCAAGCTGTTTGCACCTTTCCTTCGCCTCTTTTACTACAACAGTACTTTCTCAAAGCCACCTCATGGAGTGCATCAACCCTACCTCTTGTGAAGGGTCATCTTCCAAGAACAAGAACAAGGAGAAAAAGGGTGTGAAGAAAGGCATCAAGGGAGGGGTGAAGCTTTCTACTGATCCACAAAGCGTGGCAGCCAGAGAAAGAAGGCACAGAATCAGTGACAGGTTCAAGATCCTTCAGAGCATGGTCCCTGGTGGTAGCAAGATGGACACAGTGTCCATGTTGGAAGGAGCCATTCACTACGTGAAGTTCCTCAAAACCCAGATTTGGCTCCACCAAACATTGATAAACTTTGTAGATATTGATCATGATGAGGCTCCCGTGTACCTCCCCCAAGAGCATAATTTCCCTCATGAACACTCCATTTCCCTTCAGCAAAACCCTTCTTCAGTTTCGGTGCATTCTCAGCAGAGTTTACCACAGCCACCACTAGCACAGTACTACTTCCAAGGTGAAGAAGATTGCAACACCTTTGATGCCACTATGAAATATTGGCCAGCTTAGTTCTTGCCTTGTTTACATATATGATATATATTCAGCTTTCTTTTTGCAGAAACGTAGTGTTGATATATATATATATATATATATATATATATATATATATATATATATATATATATATATATATATATAGCTGTGAACATATGATGGTTAAACTGCTTCATCTTATGTGAGTAGATCATGTGTAGTTCTTGCATGCTAGGGTCTCTCTCTGTCAACACAAGTACCCGATAATGTTAGGTTACGTTCAGATAAATTTGTATGAAGAAAATATAAAGAAGTCTTTTTTTTTTAATAGATTAAACCAACTTCACTATTCAGAGAAGGTAATCTTGTGAATGATTTCTTTTCTTCAAGAGGCTGTCCAATCCTAGCATTTAGCCAACTCTCTTTATTTCTAATTTTAAGCAATTTTAGTCTCATTATATATCAATTTTTTTTCTACCTCACATTATCGACTTCTTATTTTATCCAATTATTTAGGGGTGTACAACGGATTTGAGATTCAAATAATTTTAAGAGTTTAGAATAAAAAGGTATAAGAAAAATTGGTAAAATTTGACATTGTGGTTAGTAAATCAACTGTGATTAACAGAATGTTTAAAATATTTTGGTTCAATTTATGAACTAGAAAATGAGAATTTTATATTAGAAGAATATTGATAAAAAAAAAAAAGAAGAAGAAGAAATTGTTCAATTTTAATTAAAATAAGTTATCTTAATTAACTAAAAAAGTACAAATCTAAAGGCAGTCTTGATCCATATTAAAGATATATAAAAGCATAACCATGATTAATATATATAATTCAATGTACAATGGTGACGAAATAGTTTACTATCAAATATAAACTTCACCTTCAAAAGGATCTTCTGCTTTTAATTATCTTGAAATGGTTAAAAAAAATTTAATGGAAAAAATTCATTGGAAATGATTTTTTTTTTTCGTAAATTGCCAAACAGTTGTTGATTAATTAGTTGTTGGTTACCATTAACTCTAAACAAAATTATTCGTATACCTGTTAAGGCATGTTTCTACAAAATGAGTTTTAAAAAAATATTGAAGGACTTCTCTGTCGGGCCTAAGATCTCACTCGATTAATGAATGCAATTGCTATTTACACATTTCAATTTTATTAATATATCTCTTTTTAATATATTTTCAAAAAGCATTTTTTTTTCTTCAAAATACTTTTGAAAAAGTTAAACTTTCAACATCCGACTCATTTTAATTGTATAAAAGAATTAGTTTTGAGGTAAATTAAAAAAAAAATTATTTTAGTCGATTTAAAGTTTAATTGATCAATATTATTGAGTATAAGATGAAAAAAAAATCGTTAGTTAGCAAAAATAGTATAGTTCTAGAACCTTGCCACTGAGAATTATTTCATTTTTTTTTTGGATAAGAACTATTTCATTAATATAATGCATATTTGAACTTGAAATTGACTATGATTTAGTGAATTTTATTTTATTGAGAGTTATATTTATAGCAACATTATGTGTTCATAATTTATCTATCATTTGACAAAAATTAGAGTGAGAGCACCCACACTGTCGATATTAAATATACGTATCTAAAAAAATACTATAATTTAAAAACACTGTAAATAAGTAATGTCAAATCGATATATAAGAACAAATTAAAGTTTCATAAATTTCGTAACAGTTAAAATATATTGAACTAAAACAAAATACAATTTGAAAACATGTACTATAATTCTGTAAATAGATTTTTGTCAAAATTAAATATTAAAAATGTAAGTATGATATTGTTTCTGGTGGAATTTCGATCGATTTCGATTCTAAGGGTGTTTTGGTCCTAATCAAAATTCTACCACGTAAGTTCTTTTTACTTAGGCTAGCAATTGGATTTTCAATCGAAAACGCGTATGAGAATTGAAAACTACAGGATATCGAAAATGTGGTTTTTGGTATTTTATGTCTAAAATGCTTGACTCAAACAAAACAGTAAAGTATCGAATCGAGCAAAGAGAATATTAAATTGCAAGAAAGTGCGAAAACCCCGAATTTGCAAGAAATTAAGTTTGCGAGATAAATAAAGGACAGGAAATCGAAATGTGCGGGAAATGTAAATTGCTAAAACCCATTAAAATTGCACAGAAAGTAAATAACAGGAAATCGAAATGTGCGGAAAATGTAAATTGCTAAAACCCATTAAAATTGCACAGAAAGTAAATAACAGGAAATCGAAATGTGCGGAAAATGTAAATTGCTAAAACCCATTAAAATTGCACAGAAAGTAAATAACAGGAAATCGAAATGTCATTGAATGTAATCTACAAGAATATGAAATTGCTGAATTGAAATGGCTCGAAAGTAAATTACCAAGGAAAATATAGAAAGCGATAAATGTACTCAGTGAGCAAGGAAATCCAGATTGCCAGAAACTTCATGGTGTTCGTCGTTTCTCCGGTAGACTTTTCACTACTGATTCTGTTCTCTGCCAATTTCCCCTCCCCTGTTTCTCCTTTCTTTGTTCTATTTATAGGGCATCTTTCAAGCCTTCCAAGAACAGTTAACACGACTGTTACCACGTTCTACGTGCGTATGGCAGTTTTTCTTCTATTGTTTCCCCACGTTCCCATGATTTTTGGCTCTTCCATAACTTAGAAACTGCTTTCAGTACGTGCGTTTTGACTACTTTCTTTCAAGGTTTAGCCAAGGTTATGATATCTACGAAAACGAGCCTTCCCTTTGATTTAATCGAGAACTTTGCATACCTGGTATCGATTTATTTTAACCTTAACTCCATGTTAAGCTTTTCGACTATTACGCCTACTCTTCCAATTTTACCTTTCGATTTTATGTGTCACGTTCTTTATAATCGGACATCAGGAAAGTTCCCTTTCGATTCATTTCTCGGTCAGACTTCTCGATTCCACACTATGACTTAGTCTTTATTTGGCAACAGCCGTTCATTTCTCGATTGTGCTTCTCGATGTTATATGCTACGTGTTTCAATTTGGACATCGAATGAATATTTGTTTATCTTATCGAGTCATATTTCTTTTCCCTTCGATTCCGATTGTGTTTCTCGATTTGCTACTAACATATATATATATATATATATATATATATATATATATATATATATATATATATATATATATATATTATTGGAAACTTGAATGTTTTAATTGAATTGGTAAAATCTATAACATGTTTCATTAAATAAAATTAACTTTACAATAAATATTAAATTTGTAAGAAGTTTCGTGATTATGATGGTTAAAATTAATAATTTTAAAATTTCACGATATGTGTTTAAGATTTTAAAACATTCAATTAAATTTAATAAAATAATATTTTTATAATATAAAAATATATAATAAATTTTTTAGCAACCATTATTTCTTTATATAAAAAAATAATATTATCATAATATATAAAAAATTATAAATATAAAATATATTAAAAAATATAAAATAAATAGTTATTAAAATAAAATAATAATATAATAAAATAATTATTATTTAAAATTAACATAATTAATATATGATAAAAAAATTATTATATCTTTCATAAAAAAATTATATTAAAAAAATGATTTTTATTTGTGTCTTTTTTACCAAAATCTATCCAACAAAAATTCACTCCATTTTTTTTTTTCAGTTTTATCTTTTGTATCGATTTAGTCTAATTTTTAAAACAGGATTAAAATACTATGAAAATTCGCTATGGTGGAATTATGGTAATATAATATACGAACAAATCAATGACGCATTAATCTCCAATTGTAAATTATCATCTAAAACATCAGAGAGGTACATGATTGCTTTCTCTCATTGTATTTTGCCACCCTCGGGTTCATTTTCTACGTGCAGCTGCATGCAAACTAAAACAAAGAATAAAGGGAAAACAAAGAATAAATGGGACAATCAGTTAGGTAGGTACATATATGTAATCTGAACAAAGATGGAGGGAAAACAAAAGAAACAGATGTGCATGTTTTCAACATGAATGTGAATGAGAAGAATATGAATCTGGATTGGTTGATGTTGAAATGAGAGGTGAGGGGTAACATGTACACCTTGGATCATGAATTACCTTCTTCTTACTGATATGAAGCTTGGAACACAAGGCACAGTACCGCCCTCGAAACGTTTGATGAACCAAATTATTTTGCATCTCATTGTAATCACACTCCTCTTCCATGTCTGAGTTATTTTCCTTAGCATCTTCCTCTGTTTCATCCTCATCATCATCATGAATGGGTATCCAAGTCATACCCAACACTGGAAGAATGACGAGGAGAGCTTTATCAATTTTATGGTTGCTCCATTTGTTCAGTCTCTTCCAGAACAATGATGGAGCCACCACCATTCCTGCTCCAACCCCAAAACCCACTCCAATTGATACAAAACTCCAGTCAAATTTAATACCAGAATCTGCATATACTTTAGATTCTGAATTATCAGGACACGTTTTCAAAGGCCTTACACATAATTCTGCATTACCAGCAAAGGAAGATGCATCAAATGTTTGAAGTTGGTTACCTACAGGGATTCTTCCCACCAGACGATTAAATGAAAGATTCAGGTATGAGAGGAAATTTAAAACTCCAAGCTGTGTGGGAATCTCACCACCAAGATAGTTGCTTGACAGGTCCAATGACTCAAGCCGTTTTAAATTCCCTATAGATGAAGGGATTTGGCCTGTTAAACCATTATGTGACAAATTGAGCGCATAAAGTCCAGTAAAATGCATAAGGTCTTCCGGTATTGATCCATCAAAGTTGTTGGAGGAGAAGTCAACAGATGTGACGAGATTCAGAACTTTAACAAACTCCAACTGCACACCTTTAATTGTAAGAGTTACAGAATCGTGATAATAGATGCCACCAAATGTAAGGATATTAGATCCAATGTGATTGACATTTGATACATCATGATCCTCATCAAGCATCACCGCCTTCCAAGTTTTGAAGCATTTTGCTGGAAGTAAACCTCTGAAATTGTTGAAAGCCACATCAACAATTTGAAGCATATGCCAGAAATCACTGGTATCAGAACATTCAATGTGACCATGAAATTCGTTTCCCCTCAAAACCAGGACGCGGAGTGTAGATATTTTCTTTAGGAAGCATGGAAATCCATCATCTACCTGATTGTTTCCAAGATCCAACACCTCTAATGATGTGCAATTTGCAATAGATTTTGGAATTGGGCCCCTCAATTGATTACTATTCAGATCCAAAGTCCTTAGAGCACAAGACACTGAAAATTTATCTGGAATGCTGCCTTTAAACTTGTTATGTTGCAGATTCAACACCACAAGTGTCTCACTCTGTGTTAAGCACTCCGGAATTTTCCAGTCGAAGTTATTATAAGAAACATCCAGAACTAGCAGACTTGAACTATTGCACAGGAATTGCGGAATACTCCCGGATAAACTATTTTTGGACAGAGACAGAAAAATTAAGGGCGGCATACTAGCAACATCTGATGGAATACTGAAACTGAAATTATTGCTTGAATAGTCCAAATAAGTGGCATGCACTGGAAATTTTGGAAGCTTCCCTTGAAGTTGGTTTGCATGAAGGTCAAGGATCCTCAAATTGGAACTAGTGTTCTGCATAGATCCTTCAAAACTGCTGAGAAAATTGTCAGAAAGATTTAATTGAAGAAGAGATTCAAGTTTCCATATCCATGTTGGTATAGATCCTCGAATATGGTTGCTTGACAGGTCTATAGTCGTTATATTGGATTGGTTTCTCAAGAAAGTTGGGACTTCTATTAGAGAGCAGGAAGCCAACTCAACTATCCTCATTTTGTGGAAGGAAGACATAAAGCCTACATCACTAAGATTTGTGTCTATTGAAAAGTTGTTGTGCGAAAGAGCTAAAGTAGTTAGATTTTCAAGTCTCTGAATTAAATCTAACTTCAATGTGCCATTTAAATTGTTTGAAGATAATTTGAGGACACTCAGTGATCTGAGATAAAAAATATATGTAGGAATGGGCCCTTCTAAATCGTTACAACTTAAATCAAGGATCTCTAACATGGAGTGAGAGATATTCGAAACATGATTCAACTGACCCTGAAAATTGTTGTTCGAAAGTAGTATACTTCGTAGCAATGGGAGAAAAAAAAGAGTGGATGGGAGACTTCCATTGAAGAAATTGTCCTGCAAATCAATTTGGAGCAGATATTTTAGGCCGTCCAAATGAATAGATGCGATTGAACCTGTGAAATAATTGTGTGAGAGGTCTAAATGTATAAGATTCAAGGACATATTCAAGGATGGAATCGGACCGGTGAAGTTATTAAATGACAAATCCAGATAAGTGAGTTCCCTGAGTCTTGAAATTGAACTGGGTAGTCTTCCATTAAAATGACAATGAGAAAGATCTATAATGGATAACTGCCAAAGATTATTTACAGAAGCTGGTATTGATCCTGAGAAACCTGTGCCACTTACAATCAGTGTCTGAAGAGGACCATTCAGAGGTAATTCAGGCAAGGATCCATTAAGATAAGGATTAAATGATAAGTCTATTTCGGACAATGTTGCTACCTGAAAGATCTTCTCCGGAAATATTCCTGTCAATTCACAAGAACTAAGGTGAAGGGTTGTTAGTTTTGAAAAATTAGCAAAGGTTTCTGGCACGGGGGATGATAAATTGTTTTGACCAAGACGAATGATTGATAGGTTGTGAAGTCGTATGAGGGAGGGATCAAGGGGTCCTGAGAGATTGCAGTTTGACATGCTGAGCTCCTGCAGGCTATGTAGCTGCAACAAAGCATTACACCATTCATTTCCCCGAGCTGATATACTTACACCATCCATAAACAATTGTCTAATCATGGTGAAGTTTCTTACAAGAATTAGATCTAACTTTTCAAGTTTCAGCGGTTGCCCATATAAAAAGGAAAGAGAAGAGATATCAAGCGTTACCAACCTTGTGAGGGAAGACATCTCCAATGGAATGAGCCCCACAAAGCCAGCATGAGACAAATTGAGATATGTTAAGTTCTTCAACTTGCTGAATCCGGATGGTATGTTAGAACTGAAGTTATTAGCAGACAAATTCAGTGTCTGGAGACTTTGCAGATTGAAAAGACTACTTGAATTTTCAAATCCACCATTGATTGATTCTCCGCCCAGGTCAAGGCCAATAACATGTCCCTCCTTATCACAGGTAACACCCCTCCACTGGCAGCAATCTATGCTTGAATTCCAGAACACAAGTTTGTGAGATTTTTCTTGCTTGAATTTGAGGCTGTTCTTCAGTTGGAGCAAAGATTGTTGTTGATCCTCAACCATTTGGGCAGAAACCCCGGTGAAGTAAACAGTGTGGTGTATCCAGAAGCAGCAACAGAATATGAAGGAAAGGAAGGGAACATGGGGAATTCTCATTGGAGTCTATTGAGAAAAAAGACACAATGAACCAAAACAAAATGATGGCTTATACACCCTTTCTTTTCCGGTGTTTATCTTCCAACACAATTAGGCAATGAAATGTCATCAAAAGTGGTTCTTTAATGTTACATTTTGAGTTAGGTCTATCATATATATAAGATAATATTTTGGTTTAATTGAAATTTTAGGACACCACTCCCTTAATTTGCAAATTTTGTTTCATTATTTTTAATTTGATATTTCTACAAGTTAATTCTATAACAGTATCACGTCAACATGAATGTATTAATGCGATAGTGGATTCACTCAACAAATTAATTATAATTAAACTTAATATGTGATTGTGTTCTATGATGCTCCAACTCTTCCAAAGGTGAGAGGTAAAGTGATGTGAGAGAGTGTAAGATGGTGAAGTTAAAGTCAAATTAAACCGCGTCTTTACAATTAATTATTCTCACCAGAAACCAAAGAAAAACAATGTTGCCATAATTGCATCCACCTTCCAGGACACTCCTTATCTCAAGACTTTTTTGGTAGCTTATTATTCCAAAGTAGGTTCAATCGTGTACTTTTTTTTTAAATGAGGGTTATTTTCTCTCAAAATAATTTATATATATATATATATATATATATTAATGATTTTGGTTCTAAATAATTGTGTGTGTTTATAATTTTTATTTTTATATTTTATATTTATTTATTATTTATTAATAATATATTATTTTATTTTATTCCTAATAAATAATTCGTAAAAATCTATCACCGGTTTTTTTTTTAAGTGTATGTATTAATCATGCTTTGTTTGTGTTCAAATCAAAGTTTTCTGTACAAAGTTTAACAAGTGTCCAACTAAATTTCCAACATATCCAAAACCATCGCAAAAATAATTCTTGTACATGGTTTGTTTCTTATAACATTGTATGCTTTATGATACTACTTATAGATTGTATATTTAGGTTCTTGAATTGAAATAAAATTTGTGATCGTTATAAATTTTGCATATTACAATAAAAAAATAGTTTAAACTATTAAATTTAGTTTAAATAAATTTAGTAAGCACATATTTTAATATAAAAGGTTAGTTGATATTAAAATAAATAAATCATAATTATTTTTACGATCATTCGAGATATTCAAATATCCAAAATATTTAGATAAATATCTTCGATCACTCAGAATATCAAAATATCCTTTAATCAACTTATTATTATGATTAATTTTATTTTATAAAAAAATTATATATTTTTCTTCTTATTTCATTTTATTCTTTTTTTATTTATTATTTCACACTGACTTAAACATGAGAAAGTCTTTTATAAATATTCTCACTCCTCTTAAATAATAATTCTATTTGAAATAAAAAAATTAAAAACAAATCATTTCACATCTTAATACCTTAAAAAATGCATTGAGAATAATCTTCAAACAGTCTCATAAAGTTTTTTTTTATAAATAATATCTTAGAATTCAATATTAAAATTAAGAAATAGTATATGCCTTGAATTTAAATTAATTATAAATCTATAATTTTAAATAGAATGTACCTTATTAATATTTAAGAATAAATTTATACTCCCCTCCCTTAACAAATAAATATATTACACTTTATTGTTTTATATATATATATATATATATATATATATATATATATATAATATTAAAATTTTAATTTCCTTAATTAAAAAAAACTACTTTATTAAGTTTATTTTAATACCATACTCGTTTGTGCATATTTTATTATATATGTATATTTTGATTCTGAAGTATTTTTGTATAAAAAATAATTTTGGTAAGAAGTATAATTGGATTTACTTCTTAAAAAAATACTTTATTTTTAAAACAAATATAGATTAGACTAACATATAAAAACAGTATAAATCTGTTTTTTCTTTATTCTGACAAACAGCTTTTTTTAATCAGAATTTAACAAACTCACCCTTAAATCTTATTATTATTATTATTATTATTATTATTATTATTATTATTATTATTAAATTAATTTTAATTTTAAAAAAATATTCAAAAGAAAATTGAGTGAATGAATGTTAACTAAGTAAATTGAAAAAAAATCAACATATGTTTTAATTAAAATATATTTTAAAATATTATAATTATTCAATAATTTTAAGTTAAATAGTAATTATATATTTTAACTAATAAATAAGAACTTATAATACTTGAATATCTCACAAAGTATAATTATTAATTTTTTGTTTTTTCGTCGAAAAGCTTGTTCACAATTTGAAATCTCAAAAAATATAGTTAAACAAAGCAACACATTATGTTTACACAAGTTACCATACCTTAGTTTTTAAATATAATGCAAGTCAAAATTTGATTCATGATAAATGTGAGGAAGAGTAAGGGAAGGATTCAAAGAGAATATGGGCTGAAAGGTTTAGAAAATAATTAGGGCCACGGCATCATGGTAGAACAAACAAGGAAGATAATATACTTAAAAGAGAAAAATAAAAGTAAAATAAAAAAAAATTGAAAGATTGATTAAAGTAACAAGTAGAGTGTCAAACCTAATTTAATATGATTTTATGGACTAAGTAAAAAAATTGATAGTTTAGTCTTATCTATATTATAAATCAAGTAAAAAGTTTTAGCCTATGATCTTATATTAGACGACAAATTTTGACCTAATTAATTTTTTTAAAATATTAAATTATTTATATAAAATCAATTAATTAAAAATATATTTAAATACAAATTTAAAATAAAAATATATTTTGAACATTTTAATTTTATTAATGAAATTAGTTATTGTTTAAGATATAATAGTTTAATATATAAATTATACGATAATGCATTTATTCAATCTCAAACTAAGAATTAAAAACTCATCCTATTATTGTTTATTTTTAGTAATTTATTAATTTAAATTAGTAATTAATCTTAATCATTTGAATAAGTAATTATCATATGTTTTTTTTTATATTTATTCTTAAAATAAATAAATCTCTATCAAATTAATTTATAATATATATATATATATATTAATAAAATAATTTTATTTGTATTTAAAAATAATAATTATTTTATAAAACAGATTGACCTAAGTCTAGGGACTAACCTAAACTCATATAGATCATAGCTTAAATAGATCGAACTAAAATAAACTTAATTCAATTTACACTATAATTTCTTTGGTTTAACTTAACTTATTTCTTGGACCTTTCGGTCATCAAACTTATTTTGATATAAGGTCCATTCAGAGTTAAACTTATTTTGATATCCTAATAACAATAATAAGAGACTATTATTTTTTAATTATTAAAAAATTAAAATTTACATTAAAAAAGGAATCAATATTTGTCGTTTTATTTTACTTTGTTGTATTTAATTTTAAAATAATTTTATATGTATAAATACTTTATTTTTATTTTCAGTCATTAGATTTGGTCTTGTGGTAAAATATTTGAGTAGTATATGAAGTATTAGGTTTTATTTAAAGATTCTCATACACTAAAACATACTTATCTTTTTTATTTTTAATTAGTAAAGTTTGTTTGACAATTTATTATATAAAAAATAATTTTATTTTTAAATTTTCATATACATAATCAAAATTATTTTTGAATTTTATTTCTTTTCTAAAGAAATTAAGTTTTAAACCACAAATAAATTATTAAGATTTTTTTATATACTTGAGAAGAAAAAAACTTTCAAATAATTTCAATCAATACGAGACTACGCAACAAGTTAAACAAACTTTACAACATTACAAAGAACTTCAAGATATTATAGCTATCTTTGACTTAGACGAATTATCTGAAGAAGATCGCTTAATCGTAGCAAGAGCACGAAAAATTGAGTGTTTCTTATCACAACAGGTGTTCTGACTGTTGCTTCAGGAGGTATTCATGTTTGGCATATGCCGACTCGACCGAAATCTTTGGAGATGATTCCAGTACTTCAATTTGGTGGAGGAACTTTAGGACACTATAGGAGTTAATATTATTCCAACTTCTGTTACAAAAATTATCAATATTTGTGTGATTAAAAGATATTTTTGATTGGTAATTATTCCCAATAATATTATCAATTCTGCAATAAAATGTTCATGTCCGATAATGCAAGAGAAGTCATCGATAAGATAGTAAAAATCAGAATTCAATTTAAATGAGTTAATCATAGAAATAATTTGATGAAATAAAATTTGAAAATTTATCACTTACATTGAAAAAAGAATTTAATAAAAAAGTTTAATTATTCAAATTTCACTCTTACAAAATTTTTATATTTATAATTTTCTTTTTATAATTTTTTTTAATTTTTTCACTTTTTTTTTCAACTTTCTCACTCTCTTTTTTATTTTATTTTTTAAATCTAAACACGCCTTTATATTTCTATAATAAATAAAAATTATTTATAATATATAAGTCATTTAGATAAGGTAAGTTTTTTCTTGTTTAATTTTAAAATATTTTTTTATATCAGGGGTTAGAGTTGCATGTGACTCCAGCGTGCTTACATGTAAATTTTGCTGGACAAAATTTATGCTATAAAATTTAAAATGTGAAGGTGATGATTGATTTGGAATTGATAAAATTTTGATTATGTGATTGATTGTAATCCAACACTAAATGTGAATTAATAATTAGTTTTTATGAGATTAAAAATGACAAAGTTTTGTATGTTTGTATTGTATTTAGAGTGAATTTGATGAGCTGATTTGTAAATTGGAAAGTGATATTTGAATTTAATTTGATTTGGAGTTTTAAAAATGAGGTATGTAACAAATTATGCAACTGGGTAGCCTCATAAATCCATCTAACAGATTTAAATTTTCGGATAATTTTAAAATAATGTGAAATGTTAAAATTTCATTCAATGCTTTTAAAAATCCATTAGTAATGAGAGTTCAATTTTATCTAAATTTACTTAAACAAAAATTTGAAATAAATAAACTAAAAGTACATGATAATTTGCCCAACCATTTAAAATTCTCCTAACCATATTTCAAATTTGTTTAGCCTTTAAAAAAAAAA